GCCTGAATGTAAGTGCAACACGGGCATGCAGTGTCCAAAGAGGCATCAAATCCCCTGATAGTTATGAGCTGCCATGTGGGTGCTGGGAACTGAACCTGGGTCCTCTGCAAGAGCAGCCAGTGCTTTTAACCAGTGAGTCATCTTTCCAGCCCCTTTCCTAATTTTTAAAATTATGTTTTATTTATTTCTATATGTGGTGCACATGTGCACAGTGAGTGTGTGGAGATGAGAGGGCAACCGGGCAGTTTGTTGTTTCCTTCAGTCATGTGAGTTCAGGGGCTCAAAATCAGGTCATTAGGCTTGGTGGCAAGTGCCTTTACCCATTTAGCCATCTTGCCAACCCATCCCCAAGTTCTTTACCGCAGTAGAAGTACAGAATTGATAATCTAGTTTTTTAAAACTTTGTTGATTTATGGTTTTTTTGGGTCTTTTTGAGACAGGGTCTCCCTGTAGCCCCAGCTGTCCTGGAACTCACTGTGTAGACCAGGCTGGCCTTGAACGCACAGAAATCTGCCTGCCTCTGCCTCCCAAGTGCTGGGATTAAAGGTGTGCGCCACCATGCCCAGTTGATTTATGTTTTATATGTATGAGTATTATGCCTGAATTCATGTAAGTGCACCCATGTCATGCAGTGCCTACAGAGGCCAGAAGAGGGCGTTGGATCTCCTGGAATTGGAATTAACAATTGTTAGCCGCCTTGTAGATGTTGGGAAATGAACCTGGGTCTTCTGCAAGAGCTACCAGTTGTCTGGCGCTGAGCCAACTGTCCAGCCCCTATTTTTTAAAAAGTATTTTATTTTATTTTGTTTGTATGAGTGTAGTGCTTGTGTGTATATAAGTGTACCCATGCCAGGCAATGCCCATGGAGGTAGGAAGAAGGTGTCAAATTACCCTGGAACTGGAGTTACAAGCAGTTGTAAGCGACCATGTGGGTGCTAGGGACTGAACCTAAGAGCAATTTCTCCAGCCCCAAGAATTTATCTTATTCAGTAGAATAAGATCATAGGCCTTTGTTTTATTATCATAAGCATGTGTAGGGGAGGGATGCTAAGAAGGATAAGGAATAGGAAGTGTCTTTCTGTGTGCTTAGGATACCTTTTGTTTTGAGTTCTGTATGTATTGCAAAGGTATTGAATTGGTTTACTGTTAACTTTGAGTCATTCTTTTGGTGGTACTGAGGATTAAACCTGGGTCCTTGAGCATGGTAGGTCAGACTTATCTCTGAGCTATTGAGCTCTGTGTATCCTCAGTGCTTTAGAGTCTTGAAGGTGGGGATCAAATTTATCTCAGTAGTCTGTAGTATGTAAGAAAGCTTTAGATTCAATTTATTGAATTCCTGAAATTTTTTTTTTTTTTGTCTTTTTTGAGACAGGGTCTCCCTGTCACCCCAGCTGTCCTGGAACTCATGTAGACCAGGCTGGCCTTGAACTCACAAAGATCCGCCTGTCTCTGCCTTCCAAGTGCTGGGACTACAGGTGTGCACCACCACACCCAGCATGAATTTTTTTTTTAAAGGATGTAGAATGTATTTAATGGGTGTGGTACCTGAACATTGCCTGGTTTACATTGTGTTCCCATTACTAACATGCAAGTGTAACCTCCAAGAAATGATTTCATCGCTCTAAACCTCAGTTCCCTCATCTGTAGAATGGACACAAAACAATAGAACCCACTTCATGGGGGTGTAGTCAGAATTAAATGAGATGTAGCACAGAAAACACATACTTCAGTTAGAGACTCCCAAGCAAATAACAAATACAGTCTCACTAACTGAGGCCCTATTCTGACTTAGTAGTTTTTAAATAGGAGCTTTAGCTACTTAGAATATTTCATTACCCTAAGAGTGTGATACATAATTCGTTAGCAGAGATCCTCTTTTTCTTATTATTCCAAAGAGAGGCAATTTTTTTAATTTTAATTTTTATTTTTTTATTTTTTGTCTTTCTGTTGGTTTTTTTTCTAATTTTTATTTTTATTTTTATTTTTTGAGACGGGGTCTCCCTGTAGCCCCAGCTGTCCTGGACTCACTATGTAGACCAGGCTGGCCTTGAACTCACAGAGATCTGCCTGCCTCTGCCTCCCAAGTGCTGGGATTAAAGGTGTGTGCCACCACGCCCGGCTTGTTGGTTGTTTTTTTGACAGGGTCTCCCTCGTCACAGCCCACCTGGAAGTCACGATGTGAACCAGGGTGGCCTCAACTCTCCCAGAGATCCACCTGCCTCTACCTCCTGAGGGCTGGGATAAAGGTGCATACCACCATGCCCGGCTATTTTTATTTTTTTAATTTGTTTTTATTAAAATTTCGTTGTATTTCATACATAATATCTCAAATAGTTTGAATAGACCTTTATAGCCAGGTCCCCACCAGCACTCTCCCATAGTCTCTGCCCCCTCCCCCACTGGAACCCATATACTCTGTCCTGGGTGTTAAGGCCAACTGTGTCAAGTCATTGTCCCCAGATGTTCCCCAGTGCAAGTCCATCCACTTGCGGTCTTGTCAGATCCCAAGAGAGGCAATTTTTGACACAGTTTTCCAGAAATAACTTGAAGCAGGTTACATAAAAATTTGTATACAATGAAGTTTAAGGGAGGAAAAATAGGAATAAGAAATCAAAGGCCAAAGATTGCAAACCATGGGGTCAACTTTGGTGGAGTAATGAAGGTTTCCATTAGCTTTCTTTTTTGAAAATCCTAATGAATTTATTCAGCTTGCTAGCAGAGCAAAGGGTGGGGTTTATTTACAGAAGAGTGGGTGTCCCCCCATCATGAATTCTTTTTTAAAATTTTACTTTATTTAGCTGGGTGTGGTGGAGCATGCCTTTAATCCCAGCACTTGGGAGGCAGAGGCAGGCAGATCTCTGAGTTCAAGTCCAGCCTGGTCTACATAGTGAGTTCCAGGCCAGCTGGATCTTAGCCTGGTTTCAGGCCTCTTTCTGTATTACCATGTCCTTTTTCTATAACCTTTCAATATTTAAAGGCTTAAAAGCTAAGAATTCACGAATTCGGGGGCTAGAGAGATGGCTCAGAGGTTAAGAGCACTGGCTGCTCTTGCAAAGGCCCTGGGTTCA